CAGATCTTTCTCGTTTGCTACAAGAGGATGGATTACTCTAACACTGTAATCAAGTGGAGTATTATTCCAACTAACATATATTTTGAGTTCTATGGTACAGGATATATTAATGAACGTAATTACAAGTTTTGCGTAGTTATTTACAAGTTTAGTTAGGTTTAAGATAATGTACAACGTGATATATCTAGGTGTTCAGGTTTATAAATGTGGGGTTTACTACGATATTTATTACATACCTAGTTATTTATATATATATATCTTTATAAATACCTGGCTATTTATATATTTATCTACAGATTTACCTATCTATTTATATATCTATCTTCATATATAACTAGCTATTTATATATCTATCTTTATATATAACTATACAGTAAAGGGGGGGGGGGGGGTTCTTATAATTAATACTAGGAGCCACTCTTATATTCTTTGATCTGAAAAGGAGAAAATAAAATTGTTTTAAAATATTTCCAAGAAACCGGAAAATTTATTTAAAGAACAGACAAATCGTAGAAATTGTCCGAGGTGGAGCTGAGCCAGGCGTTTTGTGTTGATTTTTCTCAGGTTTTCGTTCTGTATTTTATAATATCAAAATGGTCGATTAGGCTCAAATGTCGGGTCAAGATTTTAAACTTAATTTTCTAATCCCTCTTTCTTTGCAACCTTATAACCTAGTGTAAACCTTCGGTGATTCAAACATTGACATTTCGATTTCGAAGAATTCATAGCTTGAAATTTCAAATGTCTACGAAATCAGGTTGCAAAGAAATCAGGCTTAGAGAATTAGAGAGTTCAGAGATTATGTCTGTGATAACAACGCTTTCCTGATGCTGAAACTCAAACTAAACCTTAGATGCAGGTATTCGAGGAAACCTTATTGGTGCACCCCCCGATTTCCTTATTATTCCTTATTAAAAAATATCCGTCCACTGTATATAGAGCTCAGTCCCCGAGCGCTAAAGCGATATTTTGACAAAAATTTACCTTTTCCTTGCAAAAAATCCATTTTTTTAAAAAGAGTTGGTTTAACTTGTCTAAATATAGTTCAGCTGTATCTCTCTTTTCTTTAAATGAATTGAGTCTTTGCAACAAACTCTTATTTTCTATAATCCCTATATATTTAAAACCCAATGTCGATGAATCCCTGATATTTCAAACTATGATTTATGTCAGATTTAAAATATCAAAGAAATCTTAAAGCTACAAACCTTTAGCGTAAACGTACTTACTGCATTTTCAAACTAAAATTTATCCTTCGGAGAGAACCATAGATGGTAAAGATAAAACAATGTTGGTTATTGTTTAAATGTTTAAGTACTGGACTAGGCTGGGGGGGCGGGCCGCGTTTAATACTCTATTTGTTATTTGGAAAATGTTGGTTTTATTTAATATTTTCATCCTGAACAAAATTCGTTATATCTCCAAAAATTTTGAAATTTTTTATCAATAAGCAAACCCATTCTGGTGGTGCCATGTTAAGTGTGATACCCTGTGAAAAATCATGTCCTATCTATGTTGTCTGTGGGGGGAATCTACTTTACATAAAGTTTCCGACAAGAAAGGTGGATTTTAAAGTTGAATATTTAAATCTTTAATGCAGAATTAATTCAAGAATACAACTTCTCATGTCAAACATACAAAGTACGAAACAATAAATGCAAAAACTGAAGAAAATGAAAAAACTTTTTTAGGCGTAAATAATTTACCTATAAGAAATATTTCCCTCTTCTGTCTGTTTGTAGTTAACGTCAAAAAAATATTTTCCCTCGACCAATTTGGCCTATAATTGTACAGTGTACAGTGCACAGTGTACACTGTACACTGTACACTGTACACTGTACACTGTACACTGTACAGTGTACAGTGTACAGTGTGCCTTGTACAGTGTGCATTGTACAATGTACATTGTACACTTACAGATAAATTTTACAAAAAAAATATTTAGATCTTTAATTAATACAAATATTAGGTTAGGAATTAAGTCAAAGACTAAAAACAGCTTAATGAAAATATTTACAGCTTCTATAAATGACGAGCGTGTAGAAGGCAGGCGATCATTTTCCCCTTCCATGACACATTTTAGCGTTTTGTCTTCTAGCAGCCATAAGCCACAACTGTTCGGTCTTCCATACCACATCATTTGAGACTTCCGGCAGTTATTACATTTTTAAATGAAAAATTCAGTGAATTGAAGTTGCGGTTTTTAAACATCCAAGCGCATTACGTGAAAAATTATACCTTTAAGAAATTTTAGAAGTTTATTAAAAATCGATGAATTGTGTGTTGAGTTTGATAAACTGTTTTACATTTTATAAAGAAGATATTACATCATTGTACACATTGTGGGCACAGAGAAAAATTGTTTGGGGTAGTCTAAAGTCTAAAGAATAAGAAAAGATGAGAAAAATCACAATATTATCTGTCACTAACTGAACGTTAAAGATTTCCACAAAAAATTATTTTGCATTTTATTTCGTTAAATAGTGCACATTTTTGGTTATGGGCCCCCTTTAAACCTTAAAAGTATGTCCTCAATATGTACAGGGAAGGAGGCTAAAGAAAGGCTGAGGGGTCACAGACTATAGAGGCACCATTACTGACCTAGGACAAGAAAATACCCAGGCCCTGTAGGTGTTTACTTTCGTGCCCCTGGTCACTCCTATGCAGATTTATCCTTCATTCCCATAGAGAAGATCAGGTCCTGGGACAGCATGGTCAGGAAGGTCAGGGAGTCATACTACATCCAGAAATTTGACTCAGTGAGGTCAGGACTGAACAAGAAAACATAATGCTAATTGCAATATTTTTTTTAAAAAGAATGAATTAACTCAGTGAGGTCAGGACTGAACAAGAAAACATAATGCTAATTGCAATATTTTTTTTAAAAAGAATGAATTAACTCAGTGAGGTCAGGNACCGTATGCAGTCAAAACATAAACAAACAAAATGTGAAAATAGCAGACGAAATTCTTACAGATTACAGCTTTCTCAGTAGGTATCACTATACTAAATCAAAGAATTATTTGAAAAGACGATATCGAATTCGTCACTGAATTCCCATGTTTTTTGGGACACCCTGTATCTTTTGCATGACGTATCTGGATGTTTGAAAAATGCTATTTCAAAATTTCATTTGAAAACGAAATAATTGCAAAAAGACTCAAATGATCTGGCATGGAAGACCGAACGGTTGTAGCTTAAGGCTGCAGTAAGACAAAAAATAGCTAATATGTGGCATGGAAGGGGAAATATTGTGGCTTATGGCCGCCTGCCTTACCCCGCGCATCAGCCAATTACGTCGATTCTAAACTTATTCATTGGAATTATTAGAGATAAAGAAACTAGAACAAAACTGACGTTGTTAATTTCTGAACAACTTAAAAGAAGTTAAGTTCAGAGACATCTTTTGAATTGATTTATGTGAAATATTTCCCGTTCCATGTGTTTCAGTCATAATTGAATATCTAAGCTATATTAAGACGGATATATGCCAAAGGATGCAACTTTAATGGCGACCTAAAGCTCTTTTAAATATACAGTCTGAAATCTGAATTTACTGAATTTGGCTTGCTTCCTTGAATATCTGATCACTGATTATAAAAGTCGTCTTTTTGGGACTAAATTCCAGAACATGGATTCGAGACAATTCTCCGGAAAAATAAGGGTTTAAGAATCAACCCACCCTGAGCTGGAACCCTTGCATTCATACTTTTTGCTCACATATGACATCTCCGACTGCGTCTGTCCAAAGTACGGTGAAACACGACCCATAGTAAAACTAGATTATGTGACACCCATACTTTGGGTGACATATCTAACCTAAACCGTGGCCGCAGCGCTGCGGCTAGGATTCAATCTCGATCTACAAATGTCATCCCCCCTTAATCATGCTTTTAATTAAGCGCGGCAGTGAAGTCTTCCCCACCTCGCACACTCGAAGGTTGGAGTTCAGTCCTCCTCCTCTAAGCTCTGCAGGATCTGTTTCCGGCTCAAATATCGTCGCTTTACCTCAAGGGATCTTGATCTAAACAGAGATTCAAATCTTTTTAAACCTTTGACAATTTTTCTTTTGGAAAATAACGATACATACAAGATACTTTACTAAAGCATATTTTGAAGGACAGGAAAAAACACGCGTTTTTCTTTAAACTTTAGTTAGTCTAGTATACAGGGTTAGCCACATAGAAAGAGACTAAGCTGACATGAAACTCTTTAAATATGACCATAAATAAATGATATAATTCGTACAGTTGTCTTTTAAGTCTCATTCTTTGTGGTTAACCCTGTACAAGATTACAGAGTATGTATTTGGTGGAGATATACATCTATTTATTTACACTGTGTGTATATTACCTGGTTGGATTATATACTTCTATAGGGATATTTTATGTACAGTGTGCAGTCTGTATATCACCTGGTTGGAATATGCACATCTACAAGGACCTGTGTATGTACAGTGTACAATCTGTATATTACCTGGTTGGAATATGTACATCTACAGGTTCCTGGTGAAGATAAAACTCTTTTTCTTCTTTTGATGGATTAACAAGACGACTAAAATTAACATTATTAAACTTTTTTGTCGGTTAAAATACAGTGCTTCCTTGCCGGTAACCGCTAAAAAAGTTCTCTTAAAAAAGTTTTCAGAAATAAAGTTCTAAATTGTTGCACTTAAAAAGTCATGAGGAAAAAGTCCTTGAAATAAAAAACTCTGGGGGAAAAATCCTCTTTAAGTAGAAAATACATTGAAATTACTTTTTATAAAAACGTCTCAGACTTGACCCCATTTTTCAAAGACTTTTTTCAAAGAACTTTTTTGTAAAAAAGCTTGTTAACAATCAAAACAAAACAAAAAACTCGTTTTATTGCATTGTTATACTCGCCTAACCACTGTTCATTTGAGTAACCTTTCTTATTTCATCTTTCATACAACGATTAAATTGAGGGAGTAGAAAAAACGTTAATATTTCTGTATTTCCGATAGAGTAAAGACTAATAGATTAATGCCAATTATAAATTTATTTAACGTTTCATAAAAAACGCGTAATTTGTCTGATTAACAATAATAACAATAATGCATTGGAGTATGTAGAATCATACATAAAGAGTAGTTTGGAAATAATTGTAATTTCGCCGTTGTACAATGGACACAGTACACTGTACATGAATTGTCGGATGGGTTTAAACTTCAGAAGTCAATATCCCAGTCAGCAAAGTTCTCTTCAGGTTGTTGGGTTTCTTCCTGGTAATTGTCAAAGTTACTTGTATCCTTTACACCTGCTATAGTTGGTAAATAGGGCGGAGTAAGGGTTCGGTTCTCCAGACCCTCCCAATCCATCCCGGCAAACCACATGTATCTCCGGGTTACCGAAAGACTAGGACGTTGGGACGGAGACAGTCGACACAGTTGTCTGATCAGTTCTACTGCGGTAGCTGACATGTAGGACGGAAAATTAACGGATTTCATTCCCTGAAGAATATCGGAGTAAACCTGGTCTGAGGAACTATTCTTCTTAGAGAACGGTGGAACACCATTTAGCAACTCATACATCAGGATTCCCACCGACCATATATCCGCCCTGTTGTCATGACTTTTATTAGTAATTATCTCCGGAGCAACATACTCAGGAGTCCCGCAGAACGTCCAACTCTTCTCTCCAGGTTCTAATCTCTTGGAGAAACCAAAATCTGTAAGTTTAATGTATCCTGATGAATCCAGGAGAAGGTTTTCAGGTTTAAGATCTCTATACACTATCCCTTTATCATGAAGGTAGTCAAATGCTTTAATAACACAAGCAGTGTAGAATCTTGAAGATTCGTCGTCAAACCTCTTCTTGTTCCGAAGGATGGTCCAGAGTTCTCCACCCAGGCAGGGTTCCATCAGCATATATAGGTACCTGGAGTCCCGGAAGGTTCTGTAGAGTTTAACAATGAATGGATTTGAACAACTGGACATTATTTTCTTCTCGTTTAAAATATGTTGCTGTTGTTTCTCGTCAGTAATCTAAATAGAAAAAAAATATATTTCGAATTTTTAGTATTTTTCACTAAAATCATGGAATTGATCAAGGAAGATACACTAGGAACAATAACCAATTTTCATCCTCATTATTTTGAGATGGACAGAGAAATATACTTAAATTGATCATGTACAGTGCTATTCAAAATAAACAGAAAAAGTCGTCTTTAACCTTAGAAACAGTTTTCGGTATTAGGCAACTTAATTTTAGAAATTTTTTCTGAAACAATAAACGCATAATAGCCCTGCCCTAGTCCTGCCATTTTTTTGCTTTTATAATTACCGAAGATATAAATGATTTTGTTCAGAATTAAAATTTTCATGGTTTCATATAAAAATTTTAAATTTCGCACAAATTCAAATTTACTAATTCTTATATTTTTTGCAACCTGACTGTATTTCAAACTTAGATTTTATTTAACCGAATTGATAATTTCAAATATCTAAGGTCTACGACATTGGGATACAAAGATATAAGGATTAGAAAATTTTAGTTTGGGGCCGACCAAAAGCTCAATTCCTTTAAACACATTATCTCTGATATTTTTAAAAGCAAAAAAAGATTAGACCACATTTTGGAAATGGCAGGACTAGGGCTATTTTGTTTCATAAAAAAACATTCTCAATATTGGTTTGCCTAAAATGCATGCTAAAATACTATTTCTAAGGTCAAAGACGGTTCTGAGGTCAAAGACGACTTTTAAAGTATTTAAACATTTGATATCATTTCGGTTTTCTAGAATAAATAACAATTTGATAGAAGCTAACAATTGTTTAACTACAGGTTACCCACGACAATGGAAACTTTAACGGACCTGGCTGGAACTCATAAAATGTAACAATCTACTTTGAAAACAAATAAACGGATTTAAAGCTACAGGTAACCATCAATGTATAGAAATATAATATACTAGGCCATCTTCTTTTTCAATTGTGACATTTTCTCTTTGTAAACATTGTAAAACAAAAACAAAAAAGGTCGCGGATTTGTAAAAAAATTTCGTAGATTTTTTAAACTTTTTGAAAACGAATTTTGTTGTAGGCTAAATTTTGAAAATCCATGAACCTTCCCTTGGGGCATGTCAGAGGTCCCACAATTTGGGCTCGATCAGCTCAGCCGTTTAGAAGTTTATGGGATACAAACTAAACGGACAAACAGACAGACAAGCAAAGTATATATATAGATATATAAATATATAAATAAAGTCTCATCATCGTTTGTAGGTTACCCTGAAAGATAACAGTAAAAATATGTTCCCAAATGAATACAGAATAGATTAAAAACATATATGAAGTCACTGTAAATTTTTTTTATCATAATCGGAACTAATTTGTTAAGAGTGAGCTTACCTCATTTTTCTTCATTTTCTTGAGAGCAAACGCCATATTATTGTTCTCTCCTGCGGTAACTAGCTCCACCCTTCCAAACCCCCCAATACCGAGGGTGCCCACCCAGCTCAGCTGATCCAGCCTCAAGGTGTCCAACCAGCTAGGGTTATCTGCACATTTAATCACAGGGGCCGGGGAATCACTGTTAGAATACTGTTGGTTATCACAGGAATATTTATCTGTTATATAATCATTATTGTCATTATTGTCCGTCCCGCAGGTTTGCTCCGTCTTTAGATTGTCCTTTACAGCCTTCATATTGTCCTCAAAGCTCTTGATGTTGTCCTCTAGACCCGATTCCACAGAATTACTAAATATAATCATGTTAAAAGAATTATAATGTAAAAATAGCTATTTCAGAGGTGTACGAATTTTTCGTACTGCAGTATACGGATTCTGGGCGGTAAAGTATACACAAGACGGATGTCACAGCCTGACATTGGATCCATTTTCAAATAAAAAATCCATGAAATATTCTGGTCATCAGAAACTATTATGTGAATTATCAAAATTATCAAAATTAAATGCTTTTATACTCCTCGGATACTAGAAGAACACTGATGCATCTATTCTTGTTTACAAACACCGCCCAGAGAGAACTGGTTTCAATATGTACGCAGAGAATACGCAACAGCAATTAAATTTCCTTGCCTTATTACCTAGATCATGTTTCTCAACAGTGTCTTGTGTATAACTAATAAATAATAATAAACATTCTCTAAAGGCTGCTTCGTTGAAGCCAAATCGCACGATTAATAAATCCTGCCAGGTGGATTTAAGGCTAGATTATCTACCCTAGTGTTTCATTAGAGGTGTAAATCGTGCTATTAACGTTAATGCCGCGATGTCTTAATAGCAGGATAAATTCAAATAAAAAATCCATGAAATATTCTGGTCATCAGAAACTATTATGTGAATTATCAAAATTATCAAAATTAAATGCTTTTATACTCCTTGGATACTAGAAGAACACTGATGCATCTATTCTTGTTTACAAACACCGCCCAGAGAGAACTGGTTTTAATATGTACGCAGAGAATACGCAACAGCAATTAACTTTCCTTGCCTTATTACCTAGATCATGTTTCTCTACGGTGTCTTGTGTATAACTAATAAATAATAATAAAAACATTCTCTAACTCTCTCTCTCTCTTTTATCTCTCTATCGATGTTACGTGTGCAGGACAGGGGCACACAATTAAAGGAAGGGGAGGATGAAAAATACTGGTCGATATTGTTAGATAATTAAATACATTTTTAAAAAAGAAACCCATATATCTAATATTTGAGATGTGTAAGTATTGCGTTTTAGTTTAGTTTTTACAGAAGGGAATTCCCCGTCAACCACTCATCCAAATTTTCCATAAGAAGGGGAGTGTGTGGTGGAAGGTGGAAGGGTAGATATATAATACTTCTTTGCTAAAAATTCCATCGGAAAATTTTTAAGTCTTTAAAGGGAGTGACCGGCTATGCAAGGTCGTTGAACTGAGTATGCAGTGTTGTGGAAAACTTCTTTCGGATTCAGTTGAGACATAATAAACTTTTTAAAGATCTGTTAATCCTGAGTTTGAGCGCAAATTCGACGTTCAAAACTCAGAATTAGTTTTTTTTAAATTATTAAATAACGACAACGAAAATAAAGTAAAAATTATACAGTAATCTAATTAGATGGCTAGGAACATATTTCTCAAAAGAAATTTGTCAATAAATCAATGCTAAAATCGATTATTTTGTTTTCATTATTATATTGAATTTCTTATTTTCTTTGAATTTATTCGCGGATTTCTGCAAATTCTTAAAATGTCGTCTTTTATNCACTTTATTGTGGTTTAGAGCATGATTTTGATATCAATGTTTATAAATTCGAAAACTGATTATTTTCTGTTGTGGATTCTCTATAACTAAGGTGCAAGAACTAAACACTGGAACAAGTTTAGAAAAACGACAATATTTTCCACATCATTGATTTTGATATAAAGGTTTCAAGGGTACTGTCGTGAATCGGAGGGTCACTTGAAATTCACTTACAGTCCCTTTAAAACTATGGAAGGAAGACCAAGCTATCCAATCTAAATATCCTTCTAAGTATTCAAGAATATTTTTAGTTACAAAAATGTTTTGTCGTCATAAACTAAATTCCACGGATTTTCAAGATAAAGCGGGACCGGGGCCAGATTCTATATAAAAATACATTTCAAATTCTACAGAAATGAAAGATAAGACGTGAAAGATGAATTAATCCGCGGTCTGGTTGAAAATGTCATAAAATAATAAATAGTTGTTTATTTTTTTAAACATATCTAAAAACCTCTTCATTCAAATGCTCACTGACGTATAAAATGTACAACGGGACAAAGATGTTGCTTTTTAAATTCGAAAATTGTATTATTTAAAAAAAAAATGAAAATAAAAAATTCTTCTTTATAATTGTGATTATAGTGCAACATAGAGCAATGAAAATTTGGATGAAAAGTTCCTAGACAACTGTTAATTAAATAATAAAATTATTTTTATGTTTAAAATTACCTTACATCCTCTGAAATGGATTGAATAAGAACGCATCTACTAAATCTCTCTCCTGGAAAAGATCCTGACTCCGAGCTGGACTCGGAGCTGATATCTCCCCGTCTTCTCTCCTCTCCATCCTCCTCCATGAACTCAATCCAGTCCTCTAGGTTTGGAGGATAGATAGGATGGAAGTATTTATGATATCCTGGTTCCTCCATATTCTCCTCCTCCTCTAAGCTCTGCAGGATCTGTTTCCGGCTCAAATATCGTCGCTTTACCTCAAGGGATCTTGATCTAAACAGAGATTCAAATCTTTTTCAAAAACCTTTCAAAAGTTTTGAAAAAATAATTTGACTTAATTTCATTTTGGAAAATAACGATATAAACAAGATTTTTTACTAATGCATATTTTAAAGGACAGGAAAAAACACGTGTTTTTCTTTAAACTTTAGTTAGTTTAGTTAGTCTAGTATACAGGGTTACCCACATAGAAAGAGACTAAGCTGACGACATGAAACTCTTTAAATATGACCATAAATAAATGATATAATTCGTACAGTTGTCTTTTAAGTCTCATTCTTTGTGGTTAACCATGTACAAGATTACAGAGTATGTATCTGGTGGAGATATACATCTATTTATTTACACTGTGTGTATATTACCTGGTTGGATTATGTACTTCTATAGGGATATTTTATGTACAGTGTGCAGTCTGTATATCACCTGGTTGGAATATGTACATCTACAAGGACCTGTTTATGTACAGTGTACAGTCTGTTTATCACTTGGTTGGATTATGTACTTCTATAGGGATATTTTATGTACAGTGTGCAGTCTGTATATCACCTGGTTGGAATATGTACATCTACAGGACCTGTTTATGTATAGTGTACAGTCTGTTTATCACCTGGTTGGAATATGTACATCTACAGGACATGTTTATGTACAGTGTACAGTCTGTTTATCATCTGGTTGGAATATGTACATCTACAGGACCTGTTTATGTACAGTGTACAGTCTGTACATTACCTGGTTGGAATATGTACATCTACAGGTTCCTGGTGAAGATAAAACTCTTTTTCTTCTTTTGATGGATTAACAAGACGACTAAAATTAACATCTTGAAATTACGTGTAGTCAATTTTATGAGAATTATTAATGAATTATTTCAGATTGTAAATTAGAATGTATGATAAGAACTTTCCTTATTACTAGCTCATAAGTAACAAAAATAAAACACGGTTAGTTCGTAGTCGAAGACTGAAAAACTAACAAACAGAATTATTAATATTAAAATATTAATTTAAAAAAGAAATCTTTCAGCTTTATTTGACTGAAATTTCAATAAATCCTTATCTTTTGTCCTTCATGAAATCCTGGATGTATTGCGTCATCTGAATTCATCTTATTCTTATTCCTGTTTGGGGCCATAAAGGTTTTTATCATTCATGTTCATAAACATGTAAAATGTACTAAAACATTTTAAAAAGAAATTAAGTATTCTTTGAAAAATAAGTAACTTTTTACAATAAGTTTTTTTATATATCTGTCAAATAAAACCGAAACAATGTATTGGGTGGAAGCCTCAGAATTTTATAGTTAAATAACGTGAATAAAAACTAGTTAAGCAGTATTTGAGAGAAAAAAAAATAATATTTCCCGTGTCCGAATTTAATGAATTTAAGCCGCGTCTCAAATCACCAAAAACCGGTTTCAATTGAGCGCCGGCTTAAATCTTGAAAAATTGTATACAATTTTAAGTGGAACCAACCATATTTGAGTCGCGGCTTAAATTTAAGTCGCGGCTCAAAATCTTTAAATTCGGCCTCAGGTCGCTGCATTCTTTGACAGCAATATAGATATAAAAATAGAGTCAGATGAAACCAGTTTAAATTCAACTTTATACATTCAACAAACAAAAAAATATATATATTGAGACCAGGAAGTTTTACAGTACAGTACAATTCAATGTTTACGTTCCTCCCACAAGCAGCAGTACACTTCTTGTGTATTTAATTTTTTTTTTAGTCCTAAAAGTTTTTTTTTTACGATATGCAAGATGTATAACTCGAACAGGATATATATGAATAATACAATTTGCGCAATCATTAAGGTATTTTACTATGAAGGAATAGAAAATTAAAGTTTTTTTTCTGATTGTGAATTCATATATATATATCCCTGTTATGAATATTGAAGTAAAGCCAACTGAAATGTACAGGTGGATTTTTGGTAATTATACACGATTAACTATTATCTGCAATAGTTATATTATTATTATTATTATATTAAATGGATGAATAATTTAGAATTAAGTTTCCGCAATATTTTATCCTGTCACCCCTAGGCTCTATATTTGATTAAATGATTATTATTAACATCTTAAATAGTTTTTTATTGGTTATAGAAGTACTTTGTGCAGTGCTTAGGATCCATTTAGTTTTGATGCGAATCCTGATCCTGGATCCGCACTGGAAAAAATGGATCCGGATCCAGGTCATTTATTTAAGATTTACTGAATTTTTCTAACAAAGCAGAATTTTCAAATTTGTTGTCTTACTTTTTTTGCTTATTTTTATGCTAAAACCTGATGAACCATTCAGAAATCCGGAAATTTTTATAATCTCTCTTTTTATTATTTGTTTTGGTTTTGAGAGTAAAATTTTTTTGCAGTTTTTGGTTGATATTTTGCCTCTTGGATCCGGATCCCTGGATCCGCATATTTGTGCGGATTCGGTTCCAAGAATCCAAAATCTTCCGGATCCGACGGATCCAGATCCTAAGCACTATTTTCCTGCACTGGATTTACGACGCAAAAAAAGCGTTATTTTTTAGCTTACTTTTTAGCTTTACTTTTTAGCTTTAAGTAGAATGTATGTCTCTCTATAAGGAAGTTACTGTACACAAATACTGAAGAATGTTGACCACTTACTAATTAATTCTTATAAAAGGAAGGAAAAAACGTTTATGAGATGGAAGAGTCATTTGGTGACCACCTAAATACGGAACACCCACCCAGACCTATATACTATCTCATAAAAGAACTTCTTCCTCACGTTTCTAGGATTATTAAATATACGCCACGTTTAAAATAAATAAATAAACGCTAAATCAGACATTGTTCTGAAAAACTTAAATTTGGGCGTCGGAAATATGTTACAAAATTACAGTTAACTGACGTGGTTTTAAGTTCACTTTCATGCATAAAGTGGATTTTAATGATCACTTTACCGTGGTTTAAAGTTCACTTTATTGTGGTTTAAGGTTCACTTCATTGTGGTTTAAAGTTCACTTTATTGTGGTTTAAAGTTCACTTTATTGTGGTTTAAAGTTCACTTTATTGTGGTTTAAAGTTCACTTTATTGTGGTTTAAGGTTCACTTCCTTGTGGTTTAAACTTCACTTTATTGTGGTTTAAAGTTCACTTTACTGTTTGATTGAACACAATTGATTACTGTGGTTTAAATTTCACTTTATTGTGGTTTAATTTTTCACTTTACCGTATAGTGGCTTAAAGTTAACTTTGCTGTGGTTTAAAGTTCACTTTACTGTGGTTTAAATTGGTCACTATTGTGCATATTATCAATCACAAGTGTTCTTCTGCTGTTTATCACTTTAGTTTTGTTCACTATGCAATCACGTTGTCACAAAAATAAGAGGAACCAATTACGACATGAATGGGTTACTTGTAGACTGTGAAAGTGAATACGCATAATATAGATTAAACCCAGTTTTCAAAGATTACAATTCAGTACTACGTCATTCTTGTATCATTTAGTAAGATAATGTATTAATAATAAAGAAATGTCACTATTACGCATGCGGCATTCCCTACCTTAGTTTACGCACAAGCTTCAAGCTTAGTTTTGATTTCCTTTTCTCCTTGTTCTGCTGATACAAGCTCAGATCATCAATAGAATGTCGAAACCATCCTCTCACCTTCTCTCCTTCCTCACATTCTGTATTCCAGTGAGGTTTTGGTTTGATCAGATACAGGTCTGGTTGTGGTGTGTCCTGCACCAGGAGCAGGTTCCGTGGATACTGCTGCACCTGCAGAATATATTTATTAGTCCGAGAACTACATAAACCCGGGATCCTCGATATATCTACTTTTACTAATCTTAAACCACAAACAGATAAAAATAAGTTTTTGAATAAACATTATTTTTTTAATTGTTTCTCGTAAAACAAAGATGACAAATAATCCATTAATTAGAAGTGTTTTAAAAAGCAGTTAAGATAAAAATAAAATAAAAGGCAAAACAAAGAATATTTGTTTTTTAAAAGTTTTGTGAAAAACAGCTTAATTGTTTATTAGTTATTTTATTGTTTCCTGTTACAAGTACAAATGAATTTGTTTAATTTATTGTTTTGAAGTACAAACTGTAAATGGCACATAAGTAATACGTATATACGAAATGTATTAAACGTACATCAAATTGTACAGAATTCACAATGTATGCATATTGTACTTGTACATGTATTTTTTGTCGTTAATTATACTTCTTTGTCTTTTAACGTTAATTATGTATTAGAAATTATCGTTGTTAATTAGGT